GCTGGATTAATGTAGACTGCTTTGTTTGCAGGGCTTATTGTCATCCCCAAACCAGGCCAGTTCTCCAGGTGGAACTGTAGTGTAGCGACCCCACTGCGCTCAGACTCCCCGACGCGCGGGACTGCAGGGACCGAGGACGACGACGGAGAGCCACGCTGGAGCCACGCCAGGGTGGCAGGCCTCGGGCAGGCAGGCAGACATCCCGAGGGCCGTGCGGACCGGTGATGTGGCGCCGTGCTTCGCACTCTGCTGCCCGCCCAAAGAAGTTTCCATTTGAAGTCAGTCTGTTGGGGCTGCAGTAAAAATAAGAAATGGTGTTTTCTTGCTTTTTACTCTAAAACTCGATGTAATGAAATCTCACACATATATAATATATACATATATACATAGTGTAAATAAAGTGCTTCTTGGACAGAGACCTCCTTGATTCAGCTGTTACGAGTAGTACTTCCCTCACTGGTTTTGCACTGGTTTTTTATACTTTGGGTGGTCAGAAGACAACCTAGAATGCACTCAAACAGAAAGAGTTTACTTTCTGACTTAAATGTGTAATTCAGGAAGGTGGACGCGCCAGTCTTACATGTTGAAATATTGTTTGCACTTCAATGGTTTAATGCTAATAGAAAATGGTGGTGGATCCCTGGCCCTTCACGGTGTGAAGGGAAGACACCCTTTTTATCTGTTAATGTTTATTTTAATACTGTTGTTTCTAATGCAATCAACTCTGTATAATGTGTATATATAATGTAATTCTGCAACTGGGGGAAGTAGCTACTTCACTAGTACTTTTCATCATTTAAGAGTGATATTTCTAATTTACAAGAAACATTAATATTAAAATTATCTTGAATATACTATTTGTTTATCTTCTGTTAAATTTGCTCAATTTTTAGCATGGTCTTTGCTGAATGAAGGGTTGGTATGGCATCAGGCTGTGCTTTGGAGTCCCCTCCATTGTCAGAGTGTGGCTCACTTGGAAGTGCTCGGGTTCTTTGCCCTCGAAGACTCATCCATGTGGCACTGTGGGCATCTGCACGTGTGTGCAGAAATTGGACTTAGCACGCGGGTCTCTTAGAGCTTGGAGCCCATCTCCTGTCCTTGAAAGCTGTGGCCGCACGTGACACAGCTTGTGTGAAGGTGCTCGTTAACTGCTCCTGGAAGAAGCCACAGGTGGCATACCTAGATGGCCAGGACCAGCTCAGGGCATCTCGCCCCTGTGCTGCAGCAGCTCCTCAGCTCCTCAGCTCAGCAGCCAACAGGACGACTTACTCTTTGTTGTTTCTTTTCTTTTTTTTTTTTATTAATCATATTCAGCTGGATCCTTCAGAAGTTTTATTTGGTGACACTAAGCCATCAAGTGTCTGGAACACATTGCTCTACGTTATATCAATTTGGGGAATGTTGAGGGAATTGGGGCTTTTACTGTATGTCCCTCTTCTCTGAATGCAGCAGTTCACTGGGCTTGATCTTCCTGAGTTGGCTTCAGTTCTTCTCGGTTCTTAAGCTGCCTGCACCCAGGCTGGGGGTGTTGGCCTCACCTGAAGCTGCCACTGCCCAGGGACCTTGTGAGGGGACTTGCATGATGGTGTGAGCCTCTGGGAGGTGTAAATAACCAAAATACTAACATTTGCTGTCTTAAGTGAAAGAATTAGAATTCATAAAACTTACACATTAAGAATGACAGTATTAAGGCTGGGGTGGTGGCTCAGTGGTAGAGTGCTTGCCTAGCATGTGTGAGGCACTAGATCCTCAGCATCACATATTCATAAAAATAAAGACATCGACAACTAAAAAAATTTAAAAATTTATTTTAAAAAAGAATGCCCATATTAGAATTAAGTGTTAGCGTATTTGATGTAGTTTGCTGTTTCTATTAAAGCACTGGTTAGAAAACCCTAGAGGGCCCACGATGCCTGCAGGTACCTTGGAATGAGCTGCCTTTCAAAATCTGGGATTCCTAATGTGATCATCTCCTGGCTCTGTTTCCTGTCTGAGGAAGTGACAAATTCAGTTGACATGGGGGCAACAATTACACAATGTTAAAATTATAAGCACCATTTGGTCGGATGGCCCACAGTCTGGAGTCGTGTCACTTATGGTGCATGGCTTGGTCCTTGCTGTGCCTCAGCCCAGCCTCCAATGCCCTTTGTTGGGTCTTGGAATGGAGTTTGCACTTGGCCAGCTGCACTAAAGCTGTCGGATGTGTCCCGGCACACTATGGATGCCTCTGTGCCAGGAACAAATCTTTCTGGCTCTGTTCCCAAGATTGGTTCCTGGCCAACGGTCGAAGATGGCTTCCAAGCCCTGACTGCCGTCGACACACAGCAGATCCTGACAGACAGCACAGGCCAGCCTCACAATGCACCATAGGAGGTGGACTTGCTCAGCTTGCCTGGTCAGGTTCAGGTCTACTGCTCCCGCCTCTGGCCTTGTGCTTTCCTACATGTGGTAAATTGGCGAATGTGGCACTGGGCATGGGGCCTGGGTACAAAGGAAGCTGGGGGGAGGTGGGCAATGCAGGGTGTGGCATCCATCTCAAACCTAGCTGCCCCCACGCTGTGTTCATGGGTGGCCTGGCAAGGACTAACCCAGTAGGCCTTCCCATGGTGGGCAGCAGGGCAGAAGACAGCAGGACGTCATGTCTGCACCCCGTCTGTTCTGTGGGTGAGTTTGTGATACTAAGGACCATCAGCCTTTGATTCCTTAGCCTGGGATGTCTGCATGCTTGCTCTGCCCCAGCCCAGCACCCACAAGCCCCACTCTGTGCCCTAAGATCTGAAGTGTGCCGTGAGCAGGAGAGGGCAGGCGCTCAGCAGGGTTCGGCGGGCAGTCATGGGATATGTGTTCCTACTGGGTGAAGAGGTGGAGGAGGAAGCCAGCCTTCACCTTTCCAATTTGAGAGTGGGCAGAGACCCCACAGGACTCTGGGGTCAGGGTGGGGATGGCCTATGCCCTTCGCCCTGGTCAGCAGTTGCCCATTGTAGGGCCAGAGAGAACCACCAGGGTTGATGCCTCCTGGCTGGTGTGAGCTGCAAGGGAAAAGCAGGAGCCCAAGGCTGGCCAACAAGAGTGTCCTGTCCAAATCCACGGAAATGGGCTTGTCCCTGTGAGGCTAAGGTCTGCCACATACAGGACCAGGGCACTGCTGCAGAGCTTTCTACCAGAGACCAAAAATTTTCCCTTCATGGTTCATGTACTTAAAGGGGTAATGATTTTCCTACATATACAAATGCTCGTCTGTGCTGTAACCAGTCCTCAGGACAGCAGGGTGCCCGTAACTGCAGCTCTCAGGACTTCTCCAGGGCCCACTGCCTCCACCCAGGCCAAGTGGCCTACCTACCTGCCTTGCAAGTCCTGCTCCTCTGGCTTTTGCCTCAGGTCCTTCCTGCGCCAACTAGCAGGACTCTGCCTCCTCCCAATCTGTGGACCCATCTCTGTGGCCTCCATCCCCTATCAGGACCCCTTCAGGGGCACCCTGAAGGTCATCACGGGATGACAAGTTTCAAAGAAATCTTGTCCTGCCCTTCCCCACAGGCAGCATCTCTGTCACCGTCACCTGCCTGGCCAGACATCCATGCCCAGGATTCTTCACCCGTGTTGCCCTTGTACTGCCAGCTCCTCTTCTCTTGCCCCTGTCCCTCTGCATGGTCCCACGTTCACCCTCCTACTTCCATCTGTCCTGTACTTTCTGGGGCTGGGGCCACTGGAGAGACCTGGAAGGAAGGGTCACAGATTTGCCTCAATAGAGGGAAGAGGAGACTAAACACTAATCTGGTAAATTCAGTTTTCTTTTTAATATTGTGAGTTTGAGAAAATAGAATGAACATTCAATGACTAGGTTACATTTCAAGGCAGAAGGGGCTTAGCAGAGGCTGGGGTGCAGCTCCGCGTGGGGCACAGGCCTAGCGCAGTGAGGCCCTGCACTCCACCCCCAGCACCACACAGAAAACAGAAACCACCTGGCGGGGTTCTGCTCCTGCCCCTAAGCAGCCTGCCTAGAGCCTCACCCTGAGTTCGCAAAGCACCACTTTTTCTTGCCACGTTCCTGTCCCACCCCCACGGGGAGAGGGTTTTATACATGCGAATACGTTTTAGTCGTGGATGGACACATCTATTCATTTTTATGCGGTGCTGAGTATCAAACCCTCATGCATGCAAGGCAAGCGCTCTGCCACTCAGCCCCAGCCCCAGCCCCAGGGTTTCTTTTTGTGCCCAACTTCCTCTTGGCCCTCATGAAACAAAGCTCAAAGCACCACTGGCAACCTGGCAATGCCCACACGCCCGGGAAGACACCACTCACTGGAGCCGAAATCCCACGGCCACTCGAGGCTGGGGCTCGGCAGACAGAGCGGCCTGAGCTCCCACTGTGGCACGGCCGCCAGCTGTGATTCAATTCCGTTTGACCCTTACTTAGTGCTTTTCTCAAGTGAAACAGAAGCCACATTAAAGTGTTCCCAATGTCAGTGGCCCGATTGGCCTGCAGAGGCTGACGCAGCAGTGGTTAGTGAGGACCCGAGTCCAACTCAGAGACTGCAGAGATGAGGAACTGCAATGACAGCTTATTTTTTAATAAAATTCAGGGGTCTCCAACAGCATAGTCTGTAAGGCGTCACTATAATCCTGGGGACGTCCCCCAGTAGCACTGGTAAAGCTCAGCAAGGTGTGGCCCACGGTGAGCCTCTCCCCCAAGCCTGACCCTACAGGACAGAAGGCACCAAGCGTCTGTTTTGACTCAGAAGAGATACAAAATATTTTCTCCACATCCTACGTCATGAGAATGAAATGAAACCCTGGAGGAGGTGTCGCCAATGCATTGGGGACATGCAGCGCAGCTGCCCTGGGGGCAAGCACACGGGGCCACGTGGCAGCCCAGAGCAGGTGGCCCAGGCAGCATGTTGGCACCAGGTGTACCGGGGAGCTGGTGCCAGGCATGTTCTGGGCCTCGACCCACCGTCCCACGCGGAGCGGCCTGGGCCTGCCCTCACGGTGCCTGCTCTTACTCGAAGGAGGCACGGGCCGCCTCAGCACCCTCCGCCTCTCCTGTCGATGGTGGGCAGGCGGCACTGTTTCAGGCTAGGCTTGATGTCCTTCTGTGTGTCTATCTGTGAAAGGAAAACCAGGGACACTGACTGGAGGCTGAGGACAGGTGCAGGGGCAGCCCCCAGGGACAAAGAGCAGGACAGCTACCTTCTTGTTGGCACCCAAGCACTTCAAGGGTCTCAACATGGGGACTCTTCCATTGGTCCCAGAACTGAACACTGACTGCAGTGTGGGGCTGGAGTATGACAGCTTGGTCACTCCCGAAAGCCTCAATTTGGGCAGTTCCATCAGGCAGGCCGGTCCCCGTCTCTTGCCATGGTCCTCCTCTTGCCTCAGGGGCTGTTTCTTGAAACAGAACAGGGTCAGTTTTCCTCCGTGGAAATCAGGAAAGGCACAGGCAGCCCTCTGCTTCCACCTTGGTCTAGTGGAACTTCCTGGCTAGGCCAGGGCTAGAGCTCAGTGGTGGAGCGCTCGCCTAGCATGGGTGAGGCACTGGGTTCCAGCCTCAGCACCACATAAAAGTCAATAAAATAAAGGTATTATATCAGCCAGGCGGGATGGCACATGCCTGTAAGCTTGGAAGGCATGCTTAGGAGGCTGAGGCAGGAGGATGGAGAGTTCAAAGCCAGCCTCAGCAAAAGCAAGGCATTGAGCAACTCAGTAAGACCCTGTCTCTAAATAAAACACAAAACAGGGTTAGGGATGTGGCTCAGTGGTCGAGTGCCCCTGAGTTCAATCCCTGGTGCCAAAAGATAAATTATAAAGATATTTTGTCCACCTATAACTAAAAAGTAACAAAACTTCCTGGCCTGAGGCAGGTCCTGCAGTGATGGGACACCCGCAGGTAAGGCACCCTGTGCGTCCCATGGGGAGAGGAGAGTCGCATACATCAGCCCCTCTTGGCCAGTACTCCTGGCCCACCCTCTGCAACCACTCCACTCAGTTCTGCTGACCCCATGGAGGCTGGAGTGACCAGCCTCGCCTAGCGGTGACCTGCTCTGAGTGTGGGTCTCAAACGACTTGCAGACTCTGACCCCTGTGCCTCCTGCTCTAACTGGAGGTCCTGTGCCCAACCTGCCCCAACAGTTTCTGTGCAGCTTGTGAGCTCAGAATGGGTTCCACCTTTTATTTATTTGTTTGCTCATTCACTTATTTATTTACTAGGTGAACACAGTATCTTTGTTTATTTTTATGTGGTGCTGAGGATCGAGCCCAGGGCCTCACATGTGCTAGTCTAGTGCTCTACCACTGAACCCCAGTCCCAGACCAGGGGTTCCACCTTTTATAAGGATTGAAAGAAAACTTTGATGGCATGTGAAATTCAAACATTTGCGCCCAGAGTTTCACTGGGTCATTCCCAGTTGGCAGAGATGTCCTCTGCAGCAGCTCACCAGGCAGCCAGGAGTTGGACAAGCGAGGCAGTCTGCCCTCACAGACTCAGCACACCTCTGCTGTCACTGAAGATGGTGTGGGGGGGTGGCAGCAGGGCCAGCAAGTTCCAGGAGGAGCGTGGCTGAGGGGGACTCTGGAGGCCCTGCTGGAGGGAGCCGCCTGCACCCTGCGCTTTAGAGGCGTGCCTGGAGCTGTCACAGGTGCTACACACCTGGACCCAGCGGTCGGGTCACGGAGCAGCGCCCTGGCTGCAGCCCTACGAGCCCTCTGCTGCTGGCTGGGAGCTGGCTAGTGGTGGAGGGTGGTGAAGAGCAGAATTGTGGGAGGGAACGTCCCTAGCAGAGCTCTGGTGCCAGCCCCAGGCTGTGAGGCTGCTGGGCCGAGCAGGTGGGTGCCCGTGGGTGCTGGGCCAGATTGTACAGGGCAGGTGAAAGGAAAGGCAAGGGCTGTGACGGGGCTCAGGACTTTCACTGGTGGGAGGTGGCTTTCTGTGACACCAGGAGTGTCTGCAAAGGGTTCTGGCCTGGAACAGGACAGCTGTGTGTGGTCAGCACAGCAGAGAAATGCATGGAAGGGTCCCACATGGGTGTCAGCCGTGGGCCCTCAGCTAGTGGGGCAGGGCAAGCAGAACCTGGGGAGATGGTGAACAGCATGGTGTCCAGGTTTCAGCTGACATGGTACAGCTGGGTGTGCCACTGCCCTCCACAGATGGCCACCTCAGAGAAACAGGCCACCAGTGTGTCCAGCCCACTTAGTGGGCTGTTCCCCGCTTGCTGATTCCAGTCAGTACCTGCCTTCTGCCCTCCTTTGAGAACTGCCCGTTGAGACCGAGTAGTTCGGGCCCCATGGGGTGCTCTGGAAAGAAAGCCCTTCTGTGGCTGGCCAGGGCATGCTTCTCGGCCACCCTGCAGAGGAGAAGAGTGGTCACACCCAGGGAAGGCCCAGAGCACCTCTGCTTGTCTGCTGTCTCTAACTCCAAATCTGCTGTGACAAGAGGGTCCCATGAGCTACTAGGAGGAGCAACCAGAGGCGTGGGATCAGGTGACATCCAGTGGCTCTAATGCTCAGCGTGGGCTCACACCACCCCACAGGATGCCCACCAGACGCTCCAGAATCCTCACCACCGGAGCCAGGGCCCTGCCTGCACAGTGGCTACGCTCTCCCTGCCTGCCACGGAGCTGCTGACTGCTTCACTGGGGAGCACACTGCCCAGAACACGGTGGGTCACGGGAGGCACTGACCACCGCCAGGGTGGGGACCCTCCAGAGGCCGGTTTCCTGCCTACCGTGTGCCGCACGGCCACGCGGAGACCCACGTGAGCCTACCTCTGCTCCTGGAAGTAGGGATGCAGCAGGGCCTGGTGGGCAGCGATGCGCTCGTCAGGGTCATAGGCCACCATTGCATGCAGGAGGGAGAGACATTGCGGGGACAAAGTGGTTGTCAGTTGAGGTATTCCTGATCCCTTTTTAAAAGGAAAATCAAAACTCATAGCTCTCGACCTGTATTAAAAGCCCAATGATAATAAAGGATCATGCCATTATTTGGAGCACTTGGTCAGTTGTCGTCCTGACTCTAAGGGGACAGTTCATGACCCACAGAAGGGGGCACGCCACCCTGTCCAAACCATAGACGTGCAATGCCAAGAGTGAGCCCTAGCTGAGCCACGGGCCCTGGAGATCAAGCCTGGTCGCAGGTTCATTTGACAAACGTCCCCACCAGGAGGGATATGGAGAGCGTGGGGCGGGGGCTGGGCATGCGGGCTAGGAGCCCATGGGAAATCTTTACTTTCTGCTCAACTTTGCAAAACCTAAAACTGCTCTAAAAAAATAAAGTCTGTTAAAAAGGAGTGTGTGTGAAATCTGTTGTGCTATAAATTTAAGATAATGACCTTTCCTCTAAAAGATTAAAATTTCCTTCCCACATTAGGACAAAATCAAGTTTAAAAATGGAAAAAAAGTAGCATCTAGAATTGCTATCATCTTCTTACCTTCTTGGGACCTAGGGCTGCTGGCTGCTCCCTTGGCCCTCAGGGCCCCCTCAGAAGCCCTAGCTCCCTGGCTGTGATCCCACAAAACCCCAGTGGGTCTGTGACACCTTGTCTAGGAGCCAGTATTGCCCTGATGCTGTGGGACGGCAGCAGAAAGTCTCTTGTACAGTTGGTGCTTGGGGGACCTTCTCCCCTGAGGGCTGCTAAGTCCTGTGTAAATACTCCAGGGACAAAACCCGACTCCCAAGCCGTGGGTGAGGCTGTGAGGACTTCCCACAGTGCTAGAGGAAGAGCACCCTGTGAGCCCCAAAGACACAGGCAGCCCCTTTTCCAAAGGCAGAGGAGCCCAGCAGGTGAGGGGCCGAGCGGGGGGCTTGTTCTGCTCCCACCATGGCCCACTCCAGCTGGGGCAGGAGTCCACATCTGACTCTCAGGGCAGCCACACTCACTGTTTGAACTTGGTGAGGGTCTTCTGAGCGGGTGTGCCAATGACATCATGGATTTTTGAGATCTGGTCCAGTTCATTTGCTCCAGGGAAGAGGGGCTGCAGACTGCAGGGGCAGGACAAGAGGCACCCAGGTGAGCGCAGGGCTGCCTCCTCCAGGGGACAGTCCTTCTATAGACTCCCAGGAAGGTCCCCAGAGCCATCCTCAGGGCTGGGAGCCATCCATCCTTCTCCACAGCCCCAGGTGTGTTTCCTGAGAGGCAAACACACTCCTCTATCTGCACACTCCTGTGACTGCATGAAAGGAGCACATCTGCTCTAACTGCCACAGACACATGGGGCCTGACGCCAGCCAGGTGAGTTCTGCTGCACATGGAGGGCAGAGTGGGGCAGGGCTTATGGGCAACTGAGTTCCAAGAAAACTTTTGGTTTACAGAGCTTTTACAGATTTTGTAACAGTGAATAAAAGATTTTAGACTTGCATAAACCAACCCAATCCATGTTACACATCACAAAGAGGAGCCTAAACAGCTCCGCTAGGAATGGCTTCTGCTCAGTCAAGAGCAGTATCTGCAAAGAGAGAAAGAGGGCCGTGTGGATGAGCAGGACCCAGCTCCAAGGTGGAAAACCAGGACACCCCTGCCCAGCGCAGGTTACCAGGTGGCTGGCTCCCTGAGGCTACTGCATCCTGTTCTCCAGCACCCTACCAAACCAGCTCAGGGGATTTCAGAACTGTGCTGGTGCTCGAGGCTGCACGGCAATCACCTCTCAGCTCTCCAGAGTGACAAGTCACCAACATGAACGCTGGCACTCTAAGGGGTGCCCTGAAGTGCACATCTGTATGCATTTCTGTAGTGGTCAGTTGAACAGGTAGGACAATGACACTAGGTCACAATGCTCACTTGAAGATCAACCATGAGAAAGAGGGAGCTGCCCACCCCTGGGGGCCTAACTATGCCACTCCACTCGCCCAACATGGACCAGCCTGCTGCCCATCTCCTAGGCCCCTGYTCCACCTGGAAACCAAGCCCAAAGGCCAGAGCTGGAGTGGGGAGGCCAGAGCACCCTGCGTGCCTGGAGCAGGCCCTGAGGGCACCGCTCACCCTCCCCACGTCTGCCTGGAGGTGGAATGAGCTTGCCTCCCCTCTGCTCTGGGATGCTGGTCTGTCAGTCATTTCAGGATCAAGCCTGGAGGACAGCCCTGTTCCCCAGGAGCCCGATGGTGATGGCTCTGCAGGAAGAGCAAGCAAGGAAAGGTAAAATGAAAGCCTAGTGGACTTTTGTCCTTCTGTGGTGCTGGGGATGGAAGCCAGGGCCTTGCCCGTTAGGCCAGCACCTACCACTGAGCCACACAGTGCCCACCTAGGAAGCTTTCTGCTGAAATAAAAAGTTGAGTGACTGTAAAACCTGGAGGTATGGGGCTGGGGCTGGGGCTGGGGCTGGGGCTGAGCAGTAGAGCGCTCACCTAGCACGTGCCAGGTCCTGGGTTTGATTTTCAGCACCACATAAAAATAAATAAAAATAAAGATTTAAAAAAAAAAAAACAACCTGGAGGTGTGGAGGCTGGCAAGACACCCTTTGGCCTGGGCCTCGCTGTGTSATCTACCCCCCTCCACCTGAGTGTGACCAGGCTGGTGGTCCCTGCTCTACCTGGCGATCTCATAGAACACACATCCTGCACTCCACAGGTCCATCTTGTATGTGTAGAAGCCATCAGTGAGGAGACACTCCGGGGCCCGGTACCAGCGGGTGGAGATGTATTCCGTGTACGGCTGCTTGGAATAGACACTCCGGCAGGACCCAAAGTCCCCCAGTTTCAGGACATCCTGCTGCAAGCAGCAAAAATCAGAGGTGACATCTCTGCAGCTATTATCATACAAACCATTTCAAACGTTTATTCACTAACAGGAAAATCCTGGCATTGACACTAGCGTGGGAAATAGAAATTACCACTTTGTAAGCCTCTGGGGGGTGGGGACGTGGGGATTTCTCTGTGTGGAACATGGCTACAGACATTCTGACAGACTTGGCATGCATCTCCCATGTCTCCAGAATCTCCAGGTAAGTTTCACGCTCCAGCCTCGTGTACCCTATGTCACACCTCCCGATGCCCTGGCTCTGCAGGTGGCTCAGTTCTGGCTCACCCTGCACAGGCTCCCACAGCACGTGGCTTCAGGGGACTCTCGATGGTGCATCAGATAGAGGCGGGGGAAAGCACAGGATGACTGAGCTCGGGCCTGCAGGGGCTTCAGAGTGGGGGACCTCAAGGCTGGCCTCAGGGCACTACAGGGGAAGACCTCAAATCTGGAATGAGCTCAAATCCTGCCTCTGCCACGCTAACATTTAGTGTTTGGGATGGACATTTGAATGGAGTGAATTTTGTCATATTCTTCCAGCTGTATCGACAGTTATGTTGGTGAAACTTACTTAATAAGCCTCCTTTTCCCAATTGGAAAGGGAAAACTCTTTAAGAAACATGCTGAAATAAAAAGTTGAGTGACTAGCTAAACACATCCAGTGGGAAAAGGCCTCATATTCTACCTTTATTCCGAAATTAAATTTCCATATAAAAATTCTTACCTTTATGAGTATATTTTCTGGTTTTACATCTCTGTGAAATATTCCATTTCTGCATTTGGAATATAAAGAATAGAATTAATTGCATCTTTTTTTTTTTTTTTTTTGTACTGAGGAATTAACCCAGGGGTATTTTACCACTGAGCCACATCCACAGCTATTTTTGCTTTTGATGTCGTTGTTGTTCTAATTAATTTACTCTTTATTTTGAGACAAGCGCTCACTTAAGTGGCTGAGGCTGGCCTCAAACTTGCAATCCTCTTGCTTCAGCCTTTCGAGTTGCTGGGATTCAGGCATGTGCCACTGCACCCAGCTAACTGTACTTTATTAATTCAAATTCTTGAAAGTGAATTGTATTTTTAGTGAATATAAATACATTTTGTCCATCTGAGAGCTGCCCCATCTCCCAAAGCGTACCTATGCATGTGATCAAGGGATCTGCATAACTGATACATATAGTGCCTGATTTTTTTTTCTGATAATGGGTGTCTTCTTCCTGTACAATCAAGGAAAAGGCAAATTATAGTCACCAATGATACATATCCCCTTTTTAAAAACATATAATCCACTTTTTTTAAAATATTTTTTTAGTTGTAGATGGACTCAATACCTTTATTTCATTTTTATGTGGTGCTGAGGATTGAACCCAGTGCCTTCCACATGCAAGGCGAATGCTCTACCACTGAGCTATAGCCCCAGCCCATAATCCACTTTTTAAAAAAAAWTTTTTAGATGTAGTTGGACACAATACCTTTATTTTATTTATTATTTTTATGTGCTGCTGAGGATCAAACCCAGTGCCTCACATGTGCTAGGCAAGCGCTCTGCCACTGAGCCACAACCCCAGCCCCATAATCCACCGTTACTTAATAATATGTGAAAAATCTAAGTTCCTCTGTGAAAAATAATCTCAAATAGTTTTAGGAAAATGGAGTACACTTACAAAAGACATCATTTAAAATCCTACATACTGGCATGATTTCGCTTAAAATCACATAACATAYGCATTTTGATTTCAGTTAGAACACTACTGAGTGATAGTCATAAGAACAAGGTCTGATAATCTTGGGTCTTCCAGGACTGTCCCCTTCAAACTGCATTAGTTTTGAAAACTTTGAGTCACTTGAAAACCTCCTGTCTTGCTGGGTGCAACAGCACTCATTTGTAATCCTTGGGAAGCTGAGGCAGGAAGATCACAAGTTTAAGGCCAGCCTCAGTAACTTAGCAAGGTCTTAAGCAACTTACTGAGACCTTATCTTAAAATAAAATTTAAAAGTAAAAATAAAAAGACTGGTGATGTGGCTTAGTGGTTAAGTGCCCCTGGGTTCCACCCTTGGTACTAAAAAGAAGAGAAAAAGAAGACCCCATGTCTTCTGTGACATCCTGGCTAGGTAGAGATCTCCATTGTATTTATTTATTTTGAGACAGGGTCCATGTTACCCAGGGTGGCCGTGAACCCCTGGGCTCAAGGCATCCTGCCACCTCAGTCTCCCGAGTCGCTGGGATGACAGGTGTGCAGGGCACCTGGCTTTGGAGATTGCCACCAAAAGGGAAGAGAGAGAGCACAGTCCAGCAGAAGTGCACAGACTGCTTGGGATTCCACCACCCACATGTCCTTCACAGAGGTACCTGGTGGCCCCAGGGCCACACTGCATTCCTACAGTGTCTATCCCATTTCAAGGCTCCAAACATGCCACCGCGGTACCACAGGGCTACTATTTCAGAGGCCACACTTCACTTGGGAGTGTTTGTAAGTTCATAAGTTTTAAACTGGCAAAGTGACCCATTTTCTCCCCCATGACCATTTGGCCCTTTGGACACCGTTAGTCTCAAATTTGCAATTTCTTTTCACAAATAAGTTCAATCTTTTTCTCTACATAGCTAAATAAAAATGTTTTTAAAAAGCAAATAATAAGGGGGCTGGAGATGTGGCTCAAGCGGTAGCGCGCTCGCCTGGCATGTGTGCGGCCCGGGTTCGATCCTCAGCACCACATACCAACAAAGATGTTGGGTCCGCCGAAAACTAAAAAATAAATATTAAAATTCTCTCTCTCTCTCTTTCTCTCTCTCTCTCTCTCCCTAAAAAAAAAAAAAAGCAAATAATAAGGGGCTGGGGTTGTGGCTCAATGGTGGAGCACTTGCCTCACATGCATGAGGAACTGGGTTCGATTCTCAGCACCCTATATAAATAAAGTCCTCTGACAACTATATATTTTTTTTAAATATTTATTTATTTATTAGTTATCGGCGGACACAACATCTTTGTTTGTATGTGGTGCTGAGGATCGAACCCGGGCCGCACGCATGCCAGGCGAGCGCGCTACCGCTGAGCCACATCCCCAGCCCCCAACTATATATTTTTTAAAAAAGCAAATAATAAGTAATTTAAATTGTAAAATTATAAATTGTATCTAAATGCAATTAACTTTTTCATATAATATCATAACCTTTTTATTGTTTCACAAAACTTATTACCAGTTTCCTGGAATTAAAACAAAAATAATTAAAATCAAGACTGTTAGTTGTCCTGAGCCCAAGGACCTCTAGAATTTTATTACCTTAACATCCATATAAAGGCAAAAAGAAAGCAGCTTCCCTTGTCCCTCAGGGGTGCTCAGGTCCACTCCGCAAGCCTCCTCGACCCCTCGGCCCCACGCTGGCTCTCCCTGCCTAGCATCAGCTTGACACTCCAGACGGCCTGTGGCCAGGCCCCTTCTGCCTCTGGGGTTCCTGGACTCCAAGGCACCCCATCCCAGGCTCAGGCGGAGGCACAGAGTGTTCCTCCCACCTAGGCCTAAGGCAGAAGGCTTGACTCACCGCTAGGCCTGGCTCATCATCTTGAGAACAGCGCCCCCCACATCCCTCCAGCTTAAGGAAGGCTCCTGTGCTCTCAGAGTGCCCCTCAGTACCGGCTCCAGGCTGTTCCATTTCTGAAATACCTTTCCCAACTAAGTGCATACATCCAGACCTTACTGCATAAAACTGGTATCACAGTTATCTGAATTTGAACTTGGGAAAAGAGGATCTTGTTAGAGAAAGTCTCATCTGTCCAGTCTTCCTAACCACCGGGGGTCTTTTAAAAAGCAGATTCCAAGGCTGAGCGCGGTGGTACATGCCTGTAACTCCAGCAGCTTGGGAAGCTGAGACAGGATGATCCCGAGTTCAAAACCATCCTCAGCAATGGCAAGGTGCTTAGCAACTCAGTGAAACCCTGTCTCTAGATAAAATATAAGAGGGCTGGGGATGTGGCTCAGTGGTTGAGTGCCCCTGAGTTCAATCCCTGGTACCAAAACAAAGCAGATTCCAAGGCTCCAACCGAGATCTGATAATAAACCACAAAGGGCTGGAGGCCAGGAGTCTTTCTCAGTGGCCTTGGCCCCCAGCATGAGCCTCCTCCCCAGGTGCCACTGTCCCCTTCCCCTGTTTCTCTCCTGAAGCCTGCTCCTATTCCTGGATCAGGAGCAGCTCTCTCCCTCTGCCCCCTGAGGAAGCGTGTCCCACAGGACTGAGGCAGTGCAGGGACAGGCAGCGGTCTGGACAACCACAGTCCATACCCTCAAAGGACCAGCTGATCACCCACCCTCCAGTTTTTCCAAACCAGATCCTAACCCTGTGGGCCTGAGAGCATGTCTGAGATTCTCACTTTCAAACAGTCTGGAACAAAGGAAATACAGTGCCATTAATGACTCACTCAGGAGTCCCTCCCTGACCTTAGTAACTTTTGTAAGTTAATTTTTACCAAAAAAAAAAAAAAAATCCAGCCTTCATTAAGGAGGCTGCATGGAATGTCCTGTATGACACCAGTAGCGGAAAAAGACTTCCCGAGAACCGGCGTAGCCTGTGGCACCCACTGCAGGAACACGGCCCTCCCTCCCGCTGCTTGTGAAGAGCCAGCGCCTGACCACCCCTGGCCGGAGCCTGGCCCTCCTCTCAGGTTCAGAGGTGCGCGCTGGGCCCTGGCACAGACGAAAATGCCCTCGTGCCCACTGAGGCCCAGAGCAGTGCCCGTGGCAGGTGTATTTTTTTTGCTATTTCTTTTTATTCAGTAGTACATTTTACATTTTGAGGGAGATAAGAGGAGGAGGGCAAAAGGGTTTCATCAGAGTCCCCTACATGAATGACACTCCTGATGGTACAAGGACAGGATGAAAGACCAGGCAACCAGAGGGAGGGTTCCCAATATTCCTAACTCATCTCTATAATTAAAATGATAGGGTGTGAGTACCAAGCCCGTGGTGGCCCTCAGTGCCAGCTGCAGTCCCAGTTCCCCGCAGGCTAGGTCATACCTACACATCATCGTCCTTTTCCTTTCAGGGAATGAAGCTGGCCTAGAAAATAGGGAACAAAAAGTTCAGCACAGTTGGGTGACAGTGCTGTGACTTTCTCCCTACCCTCCCCAGCCCACTGTGCTAGGCAGGGCTCAGAGCAGAACTACCAAGGGCCTCCTGGGGCCTGGTGGGCCTGGCCTGGCAGATCCCACAGGCAGGGCCCCCGGGCTGCGGCTCTCCAGGGCACAGTCCTCTCTTTGGCGATGATGACTGTAGGGTTAGCGCACGCATGCTGATTTCTGGGTGGTCTTCAGGATCTCAGCAGCCTTGCTGTGCTCAGTACCTTGGAAATCCACGCCATTCGCACCTAGAGCTTGGTTCCCTTCTTGAAGTCCTGCTGCATGTGCATCTGAGTCGGGAATCACCCTGGAGATGAAAATGCCCAGCTTGGAGGCCTTTCCTCCTGATGTTAAATCCCAACTGAGCTCCGGGAGGCTTCTTCAGTGTCACAATTCGGGGCAGAAACTGGTGGATTTATTGTCGTAGTCCACTTGATATACTCTCATGAGGAAGAATCCACACTGGGGGATTCTATTAGGCAGGCAGGAAAAGCACTGAGCAGTCATCATAAGGAACTGGCCATCCATCTTGGACAAGACCCACCGCTTAAATGCCAAACTACCTCAGCAGCAACAAAGCCCTTAGCCAGCCTTGGCTCGGCTCAGTCAAAACCCCGTGACACCCACATGCCCCTACTGTGCCCCCTGGAGATCCAAGGGGCCCCACTGTCAGCGCCTCTCTGTGGGAGGAGCCAGAGGAGCAGGCAGGGCTGCATGGGCAGAGACCTGCCCTGGTGGCCTGGCAGGCTCAAGGACAGGTCCTCAGGTTCTGTGCCTTGAAGCTGGGTCATCTTAGGCAAGTGAACATGAAAAAGTTTTAACTTTCTTTGAAATTCAGTTTCCTCACCTCTAAAATGAGAAGCTCAAATGAGGAAACGGGCCTGCACACCCGTGCCCCCGGCACACCCACTCAGTGCAGTCGCGCCTGAGGACTGGGTGCTGAGCGGCTCTCCGGACTCAGCCTGGGATGGGAGCCTGGTGAAGTCCAGCCCTGAGGCCAACACTGTGACAGTGAAGCCCTGAGGCCGATGCTGTGACACACCCACCTCGTCACCCTTGGCCTAGGCTCCAGCTCACCAAGGAAATGTCATTGTAACATGGGGAACTTG